TTTTTCATTGAAATAAGTCACCAAGAGCCTAGTTCCTGAGGAAAAAAAAATTATATTTCTTCATAAAAGGCCACATTTAACATCTGAGCTATTTAAAGGACCGTATTTACATGACTGTCACATTACATCGGCCCCCTTTCCCTACACATTCTTCTTGGCTTACTTTAAGGACCAATGCTAAAATAGCTGAGGAAAGCAAATGTCAACCGTGCCTTGAAATTTATATGTGTGAGAGAATCAGAATAAGTAGAAATGTAATATATTGTTTACTATACTGAGTGCCCTCTGTTCTCTAAAAGGTCAAAAGCATTGTAACCTTAGAGTTGCAGTTTCTGATTGTTCCCAGGGTTAAATACGTTATCAAAATTAATGGTTGAAACCCTGTCAACCTTCAAATAGACCAGTATACATGCCTCCATCTGCTGAATGGTTCAACTAAAAATAGAATTCTTTTTGGCCTTCACTCTCACAATACTGTGCCCCTGAGGCACAGTGAGCAGAGCCTTGGATCAGTACCCAGTACAACAACCAAAGGTCATTACTGTGTCTCTAATTTAAAGGAAGAAAGGAAGAAGAAAAGGAAAGAAGGAAGGAAGAAGGAAGGGATAGAGAGAGAAGGAAGAAAGAAAGAAAGAAAGAAAGAAAGAAAGAAAGAAAGAAAGAAAGCAGGGAGGCTAGGGGAGGAAGGAAGGAAAAGAGGGAGGAAGAGGGGGGAAGGCTGGGAGGAAGGGAGGGAGGGAGGAAGGAAGGAAAGAAGGAAGGAAGAAAGGAAGGAAGGAAAGAAGAAAGGAAGGAAGGGGTCAAATCAGGTTAATATGAAGAAGGTCTTTCCATTTTAAATACCTTTGCTTCCTTCAATTATAGAACTTCAACCTTCCAGATTATAGCTGCAAATGCTGTTGAGACTTGCCCAGCCTCATTCGTGACAAACTTTGAAGGACAAAATAACTGGGGCAATTCAAGCAGGGAGATAAGTTTGGAACCCCAGTGAGTGCCGTGCATATGTGGCACATGTCTATGCGCGTGTATGTATTTGACATAGGCTTTTTTTTTTCCTGGGGAACCTGTGTTTAGGAATAAATTCGGCTAACATAATTGTAATGCTTCATTAGTATCAACAGTTTATCATAGCTGTTGACAGAGCTGTGGCATTTCCTTGTTTAGCTTGCAAACAGATGGGGGTAGGAAGGAGGAGACAGAGAGAATATCCTTAGCTCCAAATGAAAGCAGTTCTTATAATAATAATACTTTTCAAACCTGCTGTAAAATTTGGAGAGGGAGGGATTATCCTACTCCAGTTTTGTCATAGATTTCATGTAGCAGAATCTGTATGTAAGAACTAAAGAGATAGGTGTCAGCCGAGCTGTTCTGGGATTTCCCAGGCATCAAATTGTAACCACGCTGGGAAGGCTTGGGAAACCCGCCTGGCAAGCAGGCTCAGCCTTTGCCAAATAATGTGCCATGTACTCTCCAGTTTGGGTAAGATTTCCTGACAGACAAGGGGAAATTTGAGAGAAATGAGGAGGGAAAACAGGGCAAGACGCAGAGGGGCTACGAAGAGCTCCCGGTCAGTCAAAATTTCAAATGAAAACTGCATGGGCTCCCTCATTAATAGACTCCCTATTCGCCCTAATTAAAGCAACTGGCATGTGACATGTGTTGTGCAGATGGATCAGCAGTGGTATACACAGCACTGTGTGGACCTGGCACACAGAAATCTGGTTTCATGTTTTCCAGCAACCAAACAGACGCCAGATTTTTAGATGCTGGAGTGAAAAGAAGAGAGAGACAGAGAGAAAGGGAAAGAGCTCCAGAGAGATAGAGAGCAGGGTTTAAGGAAGGAGATAACGATGCAAAGAGAAGCAGACATGGAAGGACGGGGAAAGGCAGAAAGATATTGGGGGAGGGGAAGGAGGTGACAATTGGGTACCCAGACCCAGGGGAGAAATAAAAGACAAAGGGTAGAGACTGTCTGGGGTCTGAGCCAAAGCCACCTGTCTTCATGGTCCTGCCAAGCACTCAGAGTCTTTCACACATTCTGTCCCAGGTAGGCAGACCTGTTTAACTATAATCACAAAATGTCTAATGTTCAGGTGACTCTCTGCTTTCTCTCCCCAAGACACAATAGATACTAATACTAATGCCAACGCAAATACTAACTTTCCTGTTACAAATATAGACCTCAAAGTCTCCTGGAAAACCCTACCACTAAATCGTACTGAAAAAAATAAAAACATTATCACAAATGAAACTGTTGCCCACAGAGACATAACAATGATCCATCAACACTTTAATGTTTTAAGTAGGTGGGGCCACCACCAAATACTCATAATCTCCAACCAAATGGAAGTAAAATTTTTCAAAATATAGAAACCTAGCAGAGGAGGTCAAAATCACATGAGAGTTAGATAGATGAGGGGCATCTCTTCCCTGTTGGTGCTGAATAATAATAATAATGATAATAATAACAACAACAACAATAATAATAATAGCTAGCATTTATACAGTGCTTTAAGGTTTGCAAAGCCCCTTACATATGTAATATCATTTGATCCTCACAACTACGCTGAAAGGGAGGCACTCTTTTTATCCCCATTCCTTATTTGCAGATGAGGAAACTGAGCCTGAGAGAGATTAAGGGACTTGCCCTGGATCACAGAGCTAATAGCTAGGACTGGATTTAAACTCAGCTCTTCCTGTCTTGAGGTCCAGTGCTCTATCCACTGTGCCACCTAGGTGGAACTGTACTGAGGATGCTTTCAGTAAGTCTACCAAAGAGGAGCTTATATCCAAATACTTTTATTCAACTACTACAACAAATATTTTATCAACTTTTGTAGGAGTCCATAGAACATTTAAGATAAAAGAATACTGGCAGGTTAGTGACCCGTTCCAGTTGTTGTTTCTATCTGAACTTCATCAAAAATGATGATAACAAGATAATAATAACACCAGCAGTTCATATTTAGGCTTCACTTAATTATCAAAGAACTAAGGGATATGGAGCCTTCTAGAGAGACAAAGCAGTCTTTAGGAAAGACATCCCATGCAGGTAGAAGACAGAACTACCTCTGTTCTAGTGGATGGCGAGTCATGCCCCATCAGAACCTCTCCCTTCCCCTTCTGTCCTCACCCCCAACACATATCCCCTAGTGAACAGAAAGTAGAGGAGAGAGGACACTGTGAATTACTTCCCAAACTACATCAATACCAGCATCTTATCGTTTTCTCTCTCTTCCAAAGAACTGATTTTGCCTATTATTTGCCAAAATATAAGGTTTAAAAGAAAGAAATGAGGGAGGATAAGATGAAGGAGAGAAAGGGGAAAAGGAAAAGATAGGGAACAGCAAGATTGACTTTTCCCAACTATCTAATATTAAATACTTCAGATACCCAAAGCAAATAGGGGCAGGCTTGGGGGCAACCTTACAATAGTAGAATTATTTTTTTTGAGCAAGTTGGATTCATGGTCGTGGGCTGGGAGTTGGAATCATGATCATGTGTAGGAACCCTACAAAAATATTCCAAACCCTAAAAATGAAAATGTGTTTCAAATTTATGTAACTTGTTTTCTTTGCTTTGAATAGAACAGAAATTAAGCATTCTCCTAAATCTCCCTCAATGAAGAATGATAGAATCATATATGTAAAATGAGAAGGGACCTTAAAAGTCATTAAGTTCAGTGCCCTTATTTTACAGCTGAGAAAGCTGAGGTCCAGCAAGGTGAATGGTATGCCTAGGGCATTGTCATTATTGTTGTTATTGCTCTTCAGTGGTTTTTCAGTTGTGTCCAACTCTTTGTAATCCCATTTTGGGGTTTTCTTGGCAAAGATAGTGGAGTGATTTGCCATTTCCTTCTCCAGCTCATTTTACAGATGAGGAACTTGAGGCAAACGAGGTTAAGTGACTTGCCCAGGGTCACACAGCTAGTAAGTGTCTGAGGCTAGATTTGAACTGAAAGAAGATGAATCTTCCTGATTCCAGGTGTGACACTCTATCCACTGTGCTACCTAGACGCCCATCTAGGGTCATACAGCTAGCAAATATCTGATGCAGGATTCAAACCCAGGTCTTCTTGACTCCAAGTTCAACACTCATGACTCAGTAGAATATGGAAAAGGAAGATGAGTCATCTGTATAATGTAGGATCATGATTTTCCAAAGCTAACACCACTGAATCAGCTTCTAGAAAGCAAAGAACAAGGAGGAACCAATGGAAATGGACAACGTTGGGATTCTCCTGGAACTCTGCCTTAGACTGAGTCTACCAGAGAAGAAAGATCTGGGATAACAGAAAGCACCCTCAAATGGAAAGAAAACTGGGTCCTGGTGGCTGATCTACTAATAACTTGTGTAGTATTGAGCATGTCTCTTCATCACTAAGTGCCTCAGTTTCCTCATCAACAAAATCATAACCCCAGTCCTACCAGTCTCACAGGAATAGGTCTTGAAAATCAACTGGGGGGTGGCTAGGTGGCGCAGTGGATAGAGCACTGGCCCTGGAGTTAGGAGGACCTGAGTTCAAATCCGGCCTCAGACATATAACACTTAATAGCTATGTGACCCTGGGCAAGTCACTTAACCCCATTGCCTAGCAAAAAAAAAGAAAAAAAAAAGAAAAACAAAAAAAGAAAATCAGCTGGGACAGTACATGTGGAACATGTTTGAAAATATACAAAACAAGGCAGGGGGGTGGGGACCAAGGGGAAAGAAAAGGGAAGGGGAAAGGAGACAAAGTTGAGACTTAATTTATAGAAATGGAACCTGACACTGAACCACAAATGAATACCTCTGGGAACCTTGCTTGGATTCTCTTTGTTTGTTTGTTTTTCTGTAAAGGCGAGATAGCAACCTGTAAGGTCTCCTTAGGGAGAAAGGGAGTGAGCCTGAGGAATCCTCACCTGATGTGCTCCCCTGGTCCCCACTTTCAGAGAGAGCTGGGAGTATGTTGGAACAAACAACATCCCCACCCACAGAAGCATCAATGGAAGCATTCATACCTCAATCTTTTTGTGGTTGTAAGACTGGCCACCACCATGTTCAAAGGTATCCAAATTCCTGCCATAACGTTCACTTAGGCCCTTTAGTCTTGGGCTAATTTGTGGGTGGGAGGCATGCCCTTTCTGTTTAGTAGCGTAGCCAACAAAAGAAAACAAACAAACACTCTGTCAGAACCCGAGACACAAAACCAGGCATTTCTCAACTTGGGGCAATGACCACACCAATGAGGGACAAACTGAGGCCCCTTTTCTCTTAGAGAAACCCCAGTGGCCTACAGATCAAACCAAGGGCTTGGGCTTTTACTTTCGCTTGGGGCAAACTGATACATTCGAATAAAGATATTTTGATGGACCAGAGCTACAGAGGCACAAGAACAGAGGCATTCTTATATACTGACTATGTCTCCTGTAGCAAACAGGACAGCAGGGAAGCAATGTCCCTCACAGGCATGGGACAAGTGACTTTGTCTGAGTGGGGAATTTGCTTCATCTGCACAGATCACAACCCATCCATGACTTTTTAATCAAGCCTTAGATAGTTATTTGAGGCAAACAGAAGTTAAGTGACTTGCCCAAGGTCACATAGCTGGTAAGTGTTAGAGGTAGGGTGTGAAATCAAATCATTCTGACTCAAAGCCCAAAACTCTAACCCCTCACAATCTTGCCATTATACATCATGAGTTGTTTGCTTCCGTATCCCTCCCTCTCTTACAATTTTCAACGGCTACAGGAAGTTGTTGATTGGCAAAATTGGGTATGGGGGAGTAGGGAAGGGAAGAAGGGAGAAAGCAAGAGGGACATGGAGTACAGTTGAGAGAGGTGTTGAGGTGGAGCCTTTACAAAGTGCTTCTATATTGTTTGGCTTGGCCACACAAAAATAAACTACAAAGTGATTTTGTTGTTGTCATTGTTGTGAAACTGTTTGTTCCAGTTTTTCGTTTTTGAGGTTGAAACCAGCCGTAGTCTTCAGGTGTAATATTTCTAATTCTAAATACTTTATAGTTATTTTTGGCAGTCTTATAGTTGTGTTTTTAGCTGTAAAAACATATCTCCCAATGAAAAACTAATTTTTTTAAGAGCACTGGAGTTAGAAAAGCATAGATGTGACTGAAGCCATCCCCTTATTTTACAAATGGCGCAACTGATGCTCAGAGGGGAAAAGGGGCTTACTAAAGGTCACACAGGGAGTAAGTGGCAAAGATAGGACCTGAGGATTATTTGCTTAATGCTTAAATCATTCTCTCTCTGAATAACTTCATGATTGAAGGCAAGTAATTGGACCAAGACCACAGGCCCTAGTTCAGATCCCAGCACTGGGAAGGTTGAGACTACACAAATGCAGACAGAGTCTTCTTAAAGCTCTTAGGTTGGTTAGTTATGAAGCCATGAGGGAGAAAGAGCCCTTCCCTCCCTCTATAAGGTGCACAAGGTAAAATACACAATCAATGGATTCTGCTTTGACGCCTGTGGGAAAAAAAGGCTATTTGGGGCAGAAAAGATTTTGATAAAAAATGAAATTCAGGGGAGGTTAAACTGAACATATCTAAAGACAATTGGGCATACATTCACTAATAACTATTGACTCACTTGCTCTGTAATACGTGAGACTAAGTCATCATGTCATTTTCCCCCCTTTTAAAATACTGAAGTTGGCAGCCGACAATCCTATTTGCAGTATGGTAAGTACATAAGGTGTTAATCCTTCTGGGTTATGCTTAAAAAATTATTTAACATTCAGGCCATTATTTAGCATACAGCTGGTTAGCAGTTTTCCACTAAAGTGTTGGCTGGTGGCCCACAATTTTTTTTTTATTTTGGCACATACCTGGAGCTGTAAAGGGCTCAGTCCAGAAGCAGCAGCAGCTGCCATTGTTGATGGAATGAACTGTACGGGGTAGTTATCACCTGTCGGAGAGAACAATGCATACAGGTTTAGACAATGAGCAGAGAATCGCAGCAGACAAGTACAAACAGGGTCTTCACGTTGCTTGGGCTCTACAGCACTGCTCTAAGCCCAAACATCTGCAGAAACAAAAGACTGAGTTGGGCACAGACTTGTAGTGTTACCTTGGAACTTTCCCTAAGCGAGATTGCTAGTAGGCAAACTGGCAACGCATAAATGTGATGGGAAAGAGAAAAAAATTAAATGTGCAATTCAAGCATGTTCTCTCCATTACGAATCATGTAATACATCATTTTTGAGGAGTACAAAAATATCTTGAAGCCAACTCAACACTCAGTGCACCAAAGATATGTACAGGCTTTTTCTATTAGAGCTGCAAACGGCTTAGGGAAACATCCTGGCTCTGGAGGCAAAACATGGCATTAGCGCCCAAGAAAGAAGATGAAATGGGGAGCTTCCCAAGTACCCCTGAGTTGGGGGTGTGAAAGGAAGGCAGACAGAGATACAGACAGAGACAGAGACAGAGGGAGAAAGCGAGAGAGAGGGGAGACACTTAGAAAGAGAAAAGAGAAACAGAGAAAGAGAGAGAGAAGTCATCCTAATCCAATAGTGGGAACTGAATAGCACAATCTCAGCCACCAGCTTTCTGGAGAACGTCTTATTTTCCAGGCCCTCCCTAGGAGTTAAAGGACCATGAAGATCAAAGAGATTCATAGGATGTTGGCATGGGAATAAAGCTTAGGACACCATCTCATTCAGCTCCCTCATTTTACAGATGAGGAAACTGAGACCTGGAAAGGGAAAATGGTTTCCCAAACATCATACAATGTTGATAACAGAATGGAGACTAGTATCATACTTTAAAAAAAAAAGAAACTAACTAGATCTCCCAAAAGAAATTAATTTCATTGATAAAAATCTCCCTATTGTACAGCCACTAGTAGCCTTGTTCATTCATTCAGCAAATATATATCAGTATGATGAAATGGACAGAGAGTTGGCCATGGAGACAGGAAGAATCTGGCAGGGTCAAGTACCGCATTTGACACATCTTGGCCATGTGACCTTAGACAATTCCCTCTATCCTCTCCATCCTCCGGACAACTCCCTAAGACTCAAGGTTGCAGAGATGTTTCAGATGTACGCTGGCAGGAGCCTCATCACCAGGAAGCCCACTAACTAGCCCAATGAAATCACAGGTGCATTTCCTCTCCCCTATTCTCTACTCTTTGCCAGCCTTTGTATCATGGATTTGGGTATACAAAGACAAAAAATAAAAAACACACACACCATATTTCCTGTCCTCAAGAAGCTTATATTCTATCAGAAGGAAAATAACACGTAGAGATAAGGAGATAAGATGGATCTGTAATTTCATCACTGGAGGCAGTTTCCTGGTAAGAAATTCCCTCCACCGATTCATAATGGCAATGGCGATACAAGTTAGAGTCTTAGAGAATTGGCCTGGAGGCCCAGGGAGATTGTGACTTGGTCCAAGGTCCCAGAGCCAGTATATGTAAGAGGCAGGACTTTTACCTAGTGCTTCCTGACCTCAAGGCCATCCCGTTATCTCTCATAGACAGATAATTAGCATATAGAAAATAAATATAAAGTAAATATGAAATAATATTAAGAGGATAGTATTAACAACAAGATGGGGGAGTGAGATCAGAAGGTGAGACCCAAATCTACAATCACACTCATCACAATACTAACTCCTAAGAATATTATTATTACTAAAAGAAAACCAACTATCGGCCACTTTGCAACCAGGCAAATCATAGAAACCCCAAATGCCATGATGCCTAGATCAAGTACTCCCGTGGTAAAGTAACCCTGTCCAGTTATTTGGTATTAACCTTCCCTGGCACAGAATCATGACCACTCTGACACTTTACAAATATAATATGGCAATAATTTAATAAAATCAGACCAAATTTTCCCCAGAAATGAGGTAACCTGTTGGAGCTTATCTGTTGTGCTCCAGGATGTATGCTGACCCCAGAGTCCGAGGCCCCAGGCTCAAATCCATGCTCTGAAACTTATTGTGTGATCTTGGGCAAATCAGTTAGCCTCTCTAGACCTCGGTTTCCTCATCTGCAAAATGACAAGGTTGGACTCCATGACTTCTAAGTCCCCTTTCAGTTTTTAAGTCTTTGATCCCGTCATGAGGCTATGAGTAAGTGTAGGGCATAGGCAAATATTAATGCTAAATCTCAGTAAATTAGTCATCCAGCTCTATGAACAATCTTCAAAAGGGGGGTGACTTCAGGGACCTCTGCCTCCCAGGGTTACCAGGGTGGCCTGAAGACACAAGAACCACTAGCAAGGACTTTACTGGGGGCAGGGGGACCTGTAAACAAAAATTAATACACTGATGGAGAAATTACCCAATAACAGTGATTTAATGGAGTATCACTTTGGCTCTAGCTCCTTATTTAAAGTCAGTGTTATGTACTGTCTCTAGGCTACATTTTAATAGGCTGTTCTTCTGCACATTTTTGACATTTATAATAATCAAGCTGTTTTGCATGAACTTTTTCACATTGAATGCAGAATGCAATAATGAAGATGGAATGTGGAGGGATCCCAAGGAATGGATCGAGGGCCATTCAAAGGTTAGAAATATCCATTTAAATTTCTGTACCTGAAACCTTCCTGGATTTCCTGAATCCCAAGAACTAGTTCACTCTGCTTGCCACATGAAGAGCTACTCAGCTGACCCAATGGAAATGTTAAGTTGCTTTCACTTTTTAACAAATTGTGAGCTTCTAATCCACACGGTCTCTTTGCATCATATCCATAATACCTCATCAGACCATTGAGCACAGTGTGTGCTTGTACACAGTCCAGTAACAATTGGCTTCTGATTGCATATGGAGCTAAGCGACAATGCACTCACTAACACTATATTGTGCCAGTCTCCTATGGAGCAATGTTCAAAATATCGGATCTTGCTTTTCCCCCTTCCATGAGGTTGATTTTAGCTCGCAGTGTTATGTGGGGGTGGTATGCTATATTTTTTTCTTTAAACAGATAACAAGATCAAATTATTTTTTATAGTAAATGATTGTCGCTTGATGCTTAAATAATTCTACTGATCTCCTTAATATTTAAGCTAAATTATTTGAAGAAAGAATACGCTAATCTAAGTTAAATCATGTTTCTTTGGTCAATATTTTACCAGGTTAAAAAACATCACAAAGATGCTGAATTAATGATGCTTTAAATAGGAAAAAAAAATCGCCATTCAAACTATCAGCATGGACGGCTCCCGGAACATTCGGGCTGTGCTTTCTTTAAATATCATGCATTATTCATCCTTGCTCCACACTGCACTGCAATTCCTCCCTCCCCCCCCCTTTGGTAAGTTTAATACCAGTTGCCGTATTTGTACTAAAACATTTTCCATGTCAAATATATTTTTTAAAAAATCAAACTCTAAAAGAATTCCCCACGGCACTCCTTTCTCATAACTGTCATGCTTCTATGGTTGGAAATAGCTGCACGGTAGGATTTTGTGGGGAGTTCCCCCCCTTGGTGTGTGTGTGTGTGTGTGTGTGTGTGTGTGTGTGTGTGTTTTACAGTTTTGGGTTTGGCAGTTAATTTATTAGTATCTCTGCCACACCCTGTAGTATTCTCCAGCTCACCTGCTGGCTACAAATAGCTTTCCTTCTACTACTGACAAGCATCATTTTTAAAAATGTCTTTTAACCTTTCCTGTGGGTTGATTCTATGCATCTGAATGTAATCTGTAGAAGGTCATTTCCCAGGGCCATGCTATTGTATCAATACAAAAAAGGAAAAGTTAATACACCTGAGTTAACAGAGTACACTGCTAACATAGGACAGCTAAGAGAAGGGGGGGAAAGTAGATATGGGGCAGGAACAAAAGGAGGGAGGGGACAGGGAGGGCAGAGAGGGAAGAATATGGGCAAATGTGGAGAGAAGCAAAAAAGGAGGAGGGCGAAGAGAGGGCTGGAGGAGAGATACAAAGGTGGGCAGAAGAGGAAAGAGGAAGAAGAGATAAGGGAAAAGGGAAAGGAAAGAAGAGAAAGGAGAAGGGTGAAACAGAGAAGGAGAGGAAAAACGGGAGAGGGAGGGGGAGAGAGAGAGAGAGAGACAGAATGCTTGTTTTAAAAAAGTGAGCTCTGAGGGTATAAGGTTTAAATTTTTAATTACAGAAGGTACATGCTTTCCCCTCTAATTTTCTCAGTGCAGGCAGGAGTTGATCAAGAAAGCTCTCACTAGCTGACTTGGCAAGAAATCAGTCAACATGTTGTAGCAATTTTTTTCAAATTTGTTTCTGGATTTGAAATGCTTGCGTGAGGACCCATTCTTCTTAAATATGTACAAAAGACATGAAGCATGTTGGAACAGGTTAGCTTGAGGTTCCGGTATAATCTGGCCTTTGCTACCTGAAGTGGAAGAAGAATGCCTCTGAAATCCAAGGAACACAACAATGCCCATTCCATAACCTGACCTCTTGAGCCTCGCAGCTCTGGCCATTGTCTGCTAATATCTGGAGGCTACTGGAAAGCTTTTTTTTTTTAAAATGATATTTAAAACTCGTGGAAGGCTACACCCAGTTTTAAAACTTTCAGGTATTCTATAAGAATAGGGGCATTTCAGAGAAAGCAGCATGCCCTGGATGAGAAGCAAAAGAGTTCCTAATTTTTCATAGAAATTTCAATGAAGCTAGGCTCAGCAGACCCCATAAACAAAAGGAAGGGAACTGTACTGAGACGCTAGAACTCTTTAGGTTCAGCAAGGCTACCTACCTCTTACAAGAATATTCTTCTCTATTTCTGTTCAATGTCAGGTAAATGTTTGACTCTTGGAATAAAGCCAAAAGTCCCCAAAGGCAAAATTTAGCCCATTCTCTTCAGTTTGACTAAAGCTTTCTTTTTCCTACCCTGAAATACAAGGGATTTGGCTCATTCTTTCTCTCCCCTGCCCCCCTGAGATTACCACTGTAGGGGCTCTGACTGTTTGGAAACAT